ACACACACACACACACACACACACACACACACACACACACACGAAGATATATTTGCTATGCTGGGGATTGAACCCAGGATGTTAGGCAAGTGCTCTACCATTATACTTACTATGCCCCTTGCCTGATGCAATCTTACTTTTATTTTATCTTACTCTTGTGAGGTTTTAAATTTATTTTTTAAGTCCAAGCATCTATTTGTAATTTTAAAATGCAGAACATAAAATGTGCTATTTTAACCACTTTTCAGTGGACAGTGCAGAGGTGCTAAATACCTCCCAACTGTTGAGCAGATCACCACCGTCCACTGACAGACTTTTATCTTTCCAAACTGAAATGCTGTGCCGAATAATTTTTGATGATTCACTGTTTCCCCTCCACAAAGTCTTCTTATCTTTGAGGGTGTCCAAAACTGTATATAGAGATTTTTTAAAATGATACTGGAGATTAAACCCAGGGGTACTCTACCACTTAGCTATACTCCCAGGCTTTTTTATTTTTTGAGACAGGGTCTTTCTTAATTTTCCAGGCTGGTTTCACAGTTGTGTTCCTCTTGCCTCAGCCTCCTGAGCCATGGGGATTACAGGTGTGTGCCACCATGCCTGGACATAATTGCATAAGCTGTAAATTCTCTGAAACCCAGCTCCATCCCCAGCTAACAACCAGACATCCTGGTTAGCCCTGCACAAGCTATAGAACAACAACTTGCACTGTCAGAGTGGCTTTAGCCTCAAATCAAAAGACAGTTAATACAGTGAGGAGATGGTCACCAAAATTCTCATCACCAAACATGCAAAGAATGGTGATTATGATGACATCAATATTACTGAATACGCAAGGAGGACAAGAGCAATGTTTGCTCAAATTATTGGAATATCTATACAATTTCCCCCCAAAAGCTCTTAGTTTGCTATTCTGTGGTTCTAATTTTCTGTAAATCAACCCTATTTTCTTTGTTGCTTGTAATTATTTGTAAATAATTGGTAAGCAGCAGGAATTTGAGAACAGCTGGGCAACATAATGAGACCCCATCTCTCTCTTATTCACACACACTCACATACACAGAATCTAGAAATACACAATTAAGGACTGTTATGGTAGTTTGATGATCATCAAAGAAGATAAAAAGCCCTTTTATCCTGCCATTCTACTGTCCTTAGCATGTCACTTCATACCCAATAGGGATGCTCAAGCTCCAGCCATCAGACTCCGGGTGCTTAACCATTGAGCCGCATCCCCAGCTCTTTTTTGTATTTTATTTAGAGGCAGGGTCTCATTGAGTTATTTAGGGCCTTACTCGGTTGCTGAGGCTGCCTTTGAACTTACCATCCTCCTGCCTTAGCCTCCCAAGCCTCAGAGATTACAGGCATGTGCCACCATGCCCAGCCATCGTGTCTTATTTTGATCAGAGGGAAAAAACAAGGAGTGAAAAGAGAGCATTCCTGCTTCCTACAATGATTCCTTTCAGAAATTGCACCAAATACTTGAGCTTACATTAAATTTTTTTTTTAGTTGAAGATGGACACAATACCTTTAATTTATTTATTTTTTTATGTGGTGCTGAGGATCGAACCCATTGCTTCACACATACTAGGCAAGTGCTCTACCACTGAGCCACAACCTTAGCCCCAAGCTTACATTTCTTTTGCCAGAACAGTCAAATGGCCTTATCTAGCAGCAAGGGAAGCCAGGCAATGTACTTTCTATTCCAGAAGACCTTGTGCCCAACTAAATGCCACTTATTTTGTACTAAAGAGATGGAAAGAATGGCAGCTGGGATACACAAATAAGCATCTGTCATATGGTTTTTAAAAGACTCAGTGTGCTAGTATTGGAGGTTTAGCAGAGACAGGAGGAAGGGGTTGATGGTGTTTTGTTGTTGTTTGTTCATTTTTGTTTTTGTCTTGGTTCTGGGGGGTGACCCTGGGGGTGCTTTACCACTGGAGCTATATTTTCAGTCCTTTTAAAAAATATTGTCATTAAAAAAGGTCTCACTTGCTATATGCTTGAGGCTAGACTCAATGTTGTAATCCTCCTCCCTCAGTCTCCCAAATTCCTAGGATTACAGGCATGTGCCACCATGCCTGGCTAGGGGCAGACATCTTAAATCACTATTTATACAATTGCTCAGCATCTTGTTTAGATCCACAAGCTCACTTCCTCACACTTAGCTTTCTAGATGGTGTGCTAAAGCTTTCATCCACTGTAGCTTGAGGAAATCCATGGAAGTGGACATTGTCCAGTCAACTTTGGGATGTCTCAGTGGCCAAATATATCCAAACCATATGTTTAAATCATAAGCTTTAAGCTTTAACTGCAAAAGCAACATATCAATTTTTTTTTCTTATTAGAACTTTTTTATTATTTGAGGTTTTTATCAGATCCTGAATTTTTTTTCTAAACCTATAATGATTCAATCACAGGACTGGGAACATTGCTTCTGAGAAAGACTCATTTGCTAATGGGAAAGTTCAATACCAACTGGGGAAATTTACCCGAGTCCCAGCCTTTTCAGCTTAACATTATACCTGTCCCCTAGAAAAACAAATCCAAGTATTCATCTGGGTTGAAGAAAGAGAGTTAATTATAATTTTATTTAAAAAAATGGAACTATGGAATGTAAAATTCAAAAGAAGTCAGATAGTGCTAATAAGACATTTTATTCTTTTTCATAGAAGAAAGGAGTTATATGGAAACTTCTCATTTTTTGCCTTCCACTCCTCTATGTCCAAAGTTGAAGGCAGATTATACTTTAGGGTCCATCACATCTTAACTAAAAAAAACCACTCATGCTACTTTTCTTCCAACCTTGGCCACATGGAAAACTGAATCTTATGTGCTATATGACCCCACAAAACAGGATGAATAAAACTGTACTAAGTGGCCTCTCATCCCAGGGGGATGAATAGAGTTCTATCACTGGACTTAATTATGTTTGCTTTTACTACACTTTCCACTAAATGTAAGCTTGCATTTACAGGGTTAGCTGCTTCATAATCTTTTCCTCCATAGAAGAATGAAAAAGTTTAAAAATAGCAAATGTTCCAAGACTTTTTAAAAGGTCAACAACAGTGTCTTTCTCCAGGAGGAAAACTCCTCCTCTTATTCAAAAATGTGGATTTACATGGGTAAAAAAATGTATATTTTTACATAAATTTATTCAGATATGAATCAATCTTTATATCTTATCTTTATGCTTCTTTATCACATCAAGAGCTAACGGCAAAACAGGAACTTTGTTTCTGTCCAGGAAATCTATGTCACAAGATGAATAAGAATTTAGAGCTGGGCATGGTAGCACATGCCTGGTAATCCCAATGGTTTGGGAGGCTGAGTCAGGAGAATCTTGATTCAAAGCCAGTCTCAGCAACTTAGCAAGACCCTAAGCAACTTAGTGAGACCCTGTCTCTAAATTTTTTTTTTAAATAAGGGCTAGGGATGTAGCTCAGTGGTTAAGTGCCCCTGGTTCAAGCTCAGTGCTTAAGCATCCCTGGGTTCAATCCTTGCTTT